ATTTTGTAATGTTCTCATGCGTATTTCGGTCTACATATTGCTAGATGCCCAACAAAATAGGATATCACATAATTTGTTATTAATGATATTGATTGATTTGCTTTTAAATATTAGTAGTTAAATTCATTTGATATTGTAAAATTACTTTTACAGTTTCAAAAAAACTAAATCGATTGAGTTATTGATAAATCAAAGGATTCTAAACTAATACTCTTGATTAAATATTTTCGAATATACGATAAAAAAATATTTTTGTATGTGGTTGGTTCCAAATGAATAAGATTTTATTGTAATCTTGCTATAATTATTATAATAAAATTTCCATTGATTTTTAATTTTTATTTTGTAACTATATTTGTAATTATATCGTGCATAGTCAAAGAATACTTTTTAACAAAACCTGATTTTTTTAAGATATAACCGATTACAAAAAAAAAAAAAAAAAAAAAAAAAAAAAAAATCGTAGTGATTCATAATTAATATAAATATCAGATTTTTATTACGATAATTATCACTAATAATTTTCAAAAACAAATCTCGTGCTATTAACTGATTTGCATGATTTACAACATGTAGGTATAATTTGATTTTTATTTTTTGATAAATATTAATTAATTTGTACTATATTTCCTTTAATAGTAAGTTAACATATTCAATTACAAAGTCAAAGTTACTATTTTAGATTATTCCATCATCTTCTTTCAATATATATAGAAGAGCTATGACTTCTTTCAATATATATAGAATAGCACATAGCTCGTGCGATGCATTAAACAAACATGTTAATAGTCAAACTAGTACGAATCCTGTGCGATGCACGGGTAAGAAATATTCATTAATATTTATAAATTACAAATGCTCATTAAATAATATTTATAAATTAAAAATATGGAATTAATATGTAAAATAATTTACCTATATTAATTCATTGAAAATGTTATCTGAAATTTAAATTCTGCAAAATTACATATAAAACATGACTATTTAAAATTAGTACACGACCCGTACGGTGATTGATAATAAGTTACATTATATTCATTTAAAAAATAGATGTCATTGTAAAAATTTTATTCAGACATTTGATTTGACTACAATGTGAATTAAGTTAAAAAGAAAAAAACTTTATACATACACATACACACGCACACACACCAAATAATTTGATATGTTCCACGCATATTTTTTCCCAAACGATAAGAAGTTCCACGCACATTTACAAAGAAGAATCGAACATAGTATTATCCAGAATTTTCTTTCATTAATATCGAGTAAAATGCCTATGAAAAAAATATGAAGATACCATTTATTACCATGAGCGGGTATATTGGATTAATATATAGTATATCAAATAATTCAATTTCATACATTATCGATAAAATACAAATGATATTCAGTTTAACCACGGAATTAATTGCGCGACGTATGAAAAAAAAAAATCAAGACTCACGTTTATTATAGATAAAAATAAAAAAAGACCCAAAAATAGTTATTAAAAAATAATTAAATAAAAAGTGTCATTAACACAATTATTTTAAAATAATTTTATAAGAAATTATAATTGAACAAATCAATTCCGAACTTACACGATCTAAGTAATTAGGGTATTATAAAAATGTAAATTTTTATTCTCTAATTATTTCCTTAATTATTCACGATTTGAGCAATCAAATACACAAAAAACAACATTAATTAAATAATATGTAAATGAAAATTGTCATTAACACAATTTATTTAGAACATTTTTTGCAAATTGCATAATTAGTTATTGTTGTCAATATTTTCATAATTGTAGTAATTGTTTACATATTGAATTAATCTATCGGATTTACATAATTTGCGTAATTAATGTATATTAAAAATGTATTTCACAAAATAATTACACGAAAAATACAAAACAATTATTAAATGATAAATTGTACAATTTAGTTGGAATTTTTTTTTACCAAAACACATAATTGATATTGCAGCTGAAATTCCAATATTTGGGTAAAATCAGCCAATTCACATGATTTGAGTAATTAAGGTATCTTAAAAAATGAATTTACCATAAGAAATTATTTGAAATATAACATAAATTTTAAATTAATTTGTGTAATTAAGGGATCTTAAAAATAAATATTTATATGGCTCAATTATTTCCTTAAATAATGAGCCACAATTTTCATAAGTGATTATTTGAATCTTACCGGTAAATTGTTAAATTAATTTCTAAAATAGTAAATAGATTTTTTTAATGAAATAGTTACTATTTAAAAAATAATCAAATATTTTTATATAGATATAGATATCTACCAAGAATCCACATGATATGAATTCTTTCTAAACTTCAAAAATATTTTGTAGTTAGGTAAACATGGACAAAAAATCATCAATTAAGTTAAAGAATCCGAAATATGATATATTTTTTTTTCTGGACATTAACATTCTTTATTAGATAAATACAATTTTTTAGTTGTGACCATAAAATATGGTATATGTAGTTAGATAAATATGGAGAAAAAAATATTTAACAGTTAAGTTGGCATGACTTTTTCAAAAAAAATTCAAAAACCGTTTTATTTGGTAAATGATGGCGGGATTTTTGTAACCAAATTTGCACGTTTGACCGGAAAAATATAAAGAAATGATTGATCGATTTTTTGTGAATATTTTCACGAATCTTACTAAAAAATCTCATATTTTCATAATTTGAATTTCCATTTCAAAATTAGCCGCCCATTTAAAAAAAAATAAAAAAATTATCAAATATAGTAAAATCAAATTTTTTAGGCGGGAATTTGTATATTATTTCAAGTAAATCTCTCTCCTTTTTTATATTAATCTATAGGTTTATCCTAACTAATTGTATTCTTGCACGAGTAAAATATATTAATTAATATTTATAAATTAAAAATGCTCATTAAATAATAAGATTCGTAGTGATAAATATTTATATCATCAAATATAATACAACTTAAAATCTAAGATAAAAATATATTTAATACAATATATATTTTGCATATATCGTTTTTCTTAAGTAATATTATTTAATCCGTAAGATGAAATCGGTTATTACTATATATATATATATATATATATATATATATATATAAACATAATTTAATTGAAATACAAAGATAAATTAGATTGTCATAAAAAATTATATGTAGTTGTATCAAACATAATTTAATTTCGAAACTAAAAATAGTAATTTAATTTCAGAACATAAAATCAGTTTTTAAACATAATTTAATAAAAAATTAATTAATGATTCCTCATGACTCGATAATTGCACAAGCTCGAAAATTGCACAGACCCAAACCTCGAGACTCTAAAAATGTTAAACAAAAAATATGTAGTAGTATAAATTAAAACGTTATAATAATTTAATTAAATTTATGTGATTTTTCAAGAGTTAATTGAGAAGATCTTATATTATGGAATTTAAGATAAAGAATAATGTTCAGTATTTTAAAAGTTGATGAAGATCTTATATTATGGAATTTAAGATAAGGAATGTATCCAAACAAATTTGAATGTGATATGTAATCTTTTTCTTTAAATATTTATATGTTAATTTTTCTAAAAATTTCAAAAACACATTTAGGCAGAATTTTTTGGAAACTTTCAAAAAATAATGCCAAGTTTAGTAACTTTAAAATTTTAAGCGGGAATTCAACTTCTATTTTAAGTAAATGCCAAATTTTTTTATATTTATATAGATTTATTGGGGATGTTAAATGGTCGAACTCTACACTTGGCCCAAAATAAAATAGAGTTGAGGGCATTTTCCAACTCACCCTTTTTAACTTCTTACCCATAATTTTCTTCCACTATAAAATAATCTCTCCCATTTGCATTAAAATACTAACCCCTTATTTTTTTCACAATACCTTTATATTCATTTTGGTTAAAAAAAAAAAAAATAGTACCAACTTTATATTATCATATACTTCTTTAATGAGATAATAGTGCCTACTTTGTTAATTAGCAATACCCCTGTATTCATTAAAATTTTGAATTGAATTTTGAGTTAAAGTGAGTACAAAAATTCGGTGATGAATGAAAACCAATTTTGACCCGTTATCAATCGCTACCTTATTGGTCAACTTTGTCAAATTATCGACCACAGGTGAAGAACCCACTCCAATTGGTGTAGACTAGTGTTGTAAATGAACCGAACTGAACCGAGCTTCGGATGTTTGAGCTCGTGTTCATTTATGTTCGAACAGTGTTCGCGTTCGTTCGTTTATTTTTTGAGAAAAAATCATGTTCGAGCTCGTTTGTTTAATTGTTCGTCAAAGTTCGAGTTCGTTCGTGTTCGAATAATTTAATAAATAAACTTTTTTAATATGTTTGATTAACTCGAAATTTGTTATTTCGAACTCGAAAATAAAATAATAAAATAAAAATATTTTTATATTTTTTATTAAAATTATACGTAAATATATAGAAAATAAATAAAATTATATATTAATTTTAGATTTTTATTATATATATTATGTAAATATATAAAAAAATAAAATAAAATAATATTAAATTAATGTTCGCGAACATAATCGAACGTTCACGAACGAGCTCGTGTTCGTCCGATTATTAAACAAGCCTAATTTTCTGTTCAAACTCGACTCGATTAACAAACGAACGAGCTTCTGTCAAACACGAACGAGCTCGAACGTGCTTTTGTTCGCGAACGTTCGGTTTGTTTAAGTGTAGACACATCACAAAAAGAAAATGTATTGGGCCAATCAAGTTTTTAGCATTGACTGCATGCATATTTCAAAACTACACTTGCAATGCAGAATCAAACACTGCAAAACGGTTGCTAATTTCAAAGTAAAATATATGGCTTGCCTCAGATTAATATGTAGACCAATACTGTCTTACAAACAAGAAACTACATAAGTGTTTACTCAACAAATGAGCATGAAATTGACCACACTACGCGACACAATGTACACGTTCTTGATATCATAAATGATAAAACACAAAGCAATCAAACAACACGTCGGTCACATGTATTACAAGTCATCGACATCTATTGTTTTCTCAATCATTTGGACACAGGAGCTTATAGATTGTCCTTCAGACATGGCCTCTGCAAGCATTGCCCGAGCCTTTTCATGACGACGAAGGAGTAGGACAGTATTCAGCACAGCCCATCTGACTTGAGCATCCGCCTTCTTCTGTGTAAAGCCTAAGCTCTTTAGTAATCGATCCAACTGTTGTAAAACATAAAACTAATAAGAGAACAAAGAATAAACCATTAATTTTTATTTTTGGGTCACTGATTATCAAGAATCTGTTTAAATCAAGGAAAAAAGAGAAAATTTAAAACCGTGTTGATATCCGCAAGACCTCCTTCTGCAGTACCAAATAGGAGATACTCTGTTGCCACACCAGCTAGTGCTATGCACGAGAACCTGTTCAGTGTCTGAAAACCGAGCAATAACATCACCGGCGGTAATATCTTGTTTTCATACGTAGAAAATATCGACTACGAATGTGTACTGGCGATGTAAAGACGTAAAACTTACCATAGCCGATACTTTCCCTTTGCTCACCTGAGAATGTAAATCAAAATGCATACGTTCAAAAATATCATATAACTCAAGAAATTTTTGGAAACTTTGAATCTTATCCAAAAACTATACATCTATCGTATAAAATGCTGGACTAAGGTGACACTTTCAGTTCATACATTGAAAACCTTATTTTTAGTGTAAATATTGATCAATGAAAAAGCAAACAGATCATAAAATAATTTTTACGGTAACATCAACAAAAAACGATAATACTAAGACTCGGCAGTTAAATTTCCCTCGTTACCGGTCAGGAAAATGTTATGGAGAAGAATGACAGAACATAGTTAAGCGAAATTATAGTTGGTTTAAGCAGACCCACTTCCTCAAGAAATTCAAAGTCGACAAAAGCAGTCCCGGCTTGAACATTGAGAGACCCTTCCTTTTTGAGTGCCTCCAAGCTGGTTAGTGTGTATCCTTTGGGTAAAATTCCAAGCAGATATGCAATCAAGAAATGGCCTGCCTCATGCTAAGGCATATAAGGACAACAATCAAGAAGCGGTTAAGTGTAAAAAGCAGACTGGAAGAGAGAGAGAGAGAGAGAGAGAGAGAGAGAGAGAGAGAGAGAGAGAGAGAGAGAGAGAGAGAGAGAGTTGGGGAGATCTAACCTGAACAACTCTATTATGGTACTTTTGGCTGAATGAGTGGCCAAGTGTGTCAAGAACCAAGAAACTGATACCGCCGTTGAAAGTAACCTATGCACATTCACTTTAAGCAATAGTAAATCATGATAAGTCATGATAGTGTATGATCTCATTAGAGAGGACAATGAAATGATGTCAACAATGGCATAGAAAACTAGAGAATCATTAGTATGAAAACCACTTTTCTTCATACAAGTACAATTTTTCCAAAAGCTCAGTCTTACATTGTTATGAGACAAGATGACACTGTGTGTTTAGACAAACATCACTAACTTCGAAGTGCAAAACTATCGAGCGGCTAAACGTTCCACTTGTGAAATAACAAGAACGCACTAAAAGGGCAAAGGCTTTAGGCAAAGAGTGCAAAGCAATCCTGCATAAAACGTCCAACATTCCATGCATGTTTAATCGGACAAATTCTTATGATCAACATCTATTGCTAGAAAAGCAAGGCAGAGTAACTAAATTTCATGCAGTACAAAAATAAACCAAGATGCACTTGCAACTCATTGCATTAAGTAAAGTGGTTCGGCCATAGAGCTCCAAATTGTGCACGAAATTCTTCTGCTAAAAGGCGAGCCCGAATCAAGGCAGTTTCACTGTTTCAGCTAATTTATGTAAATGTTAACAATGGTAAAGCATAAATTTGTTAGTAATACCGCATCCAAGGTCCAGAGGAACAACAGCCCAAGCGACAAGAAAAAGATCTGTTGAGGGTTTAGCTCGAGAAAGTTCCAAGCCGCAGCTCCTCCCAAGACAGCAGCAGCCTGAATGCCCCTCTCTACGGAACTCAGCGTGGCGTCCAGTGGAGACAAAAGAGACGTAGTTTCTATGCCGTTCAATCTCAGCTCGTCTAGCGTGTACAGCCTCTGAGGAATCTGCATTGAGAAAAAATCCAATCTTTCAAACATTTTAACAACTAACGTCAAACATTCGTTCATAATGCAGATGAATGTTAGCCCTTCTCTCTCTCTCTCTCTCTCTCTCTCTCTCTCTCTCTCTCTCTCT